AATGTATTGAGTATTAAGCTTTTCTGTGTTTTGTGTTGGTTTACAAATGAAAAACTACATCCCTATTTATAGGAACTAAAAACTACTATTCAACACTTTCCTAGAAATTACTAAAGCTGAAAATTCAGCCTAAAGGGGCTGCTATGAAGGTCCTTTGCAGCTGCAAGGAAGCTACAATGAAAATGCAATGAAAGTGTAATGAAAGTGCAAGGAAGTTGCACTTCACTAACAAGGAAACTGCAGGATTATATCTTACAATCAGCGAAAACTGACACCGATAGAGTTACGTATGAGGAAGCCCTTCATGACATGGGGGATAACACCGGTTGGAGTACTGAATTTAGTACCGGTACATGGCCTTTGAGTTCAGTTTTTAATTTCAAAAAGTCAAAGTACTTTGATGACAAGAGTTATCAGCAGTTCGAGGTGAACGAGTTCCTGTTTTTTTTTTTTTGTAGAAATATTATCGTGCATCTGAAAGAACACGTCAGTCAGGTGATTTTCCTGCTAATTCAAAAGCTGTTAATATTTTCCGTGTTCTGTTTAATTTGAAGTTGTTCCTAACCTGATTTACAGAGTCATGGTTACAATATACGACTAACGGACGAGATACTTGTCCTGTACGTCATGTCACATTTTGAAAGACAGCTCCTAGATTTTCAGGTGCAACTGTTTCAATATGACCTAATGGACAAATTCTAGGTGTGCTCTTCTTCTGAACTTCTGATTCTCTATTTCTTTTCTCTTTCTTGAATGGTTTAAAAATGATGTGACAAGAGTTCAATTATGTAGTAGATACGGTGGTGCCTATTCATAAAAGACTTTTTCCACATTTATCCTTTTCACTAAGTTCTTAGGATTTATTAAGGTCAATCTGACACCTAACTTGCCTGTAATGCTTTGTGTAACAGGAGAAAGACTTATCCCTTGGGCAGCTATATCGGGTGTTTTGCGATGGGAGTTTCAATAATCATCTTCTGCACAGGATTACCAATAATTGTAGGTTTGTTTAGAAACTACGCACACTATCATGAAGTTGAAAGTTAATTTGTAGATATTATATGAAATCAACAGTGCCGTCAATATCATGAAGTTGAAAGTTTTTTTGGTACAAAGAGGAATCATGAAGTTGAAAGTTAATTTGTAGGTATTATATGAAATCAACAGTGTTGTGTAGTATTTTTAGATGCTTGTGGATTTTGTTGCTCCGACTATATAAAGCACTCACTGGGTCACATGAATTGTTAAAGCATACTTCCCTTGAAATTCCTAAGTCAGTCTTGATCTATCATGTGATTCTTGCAAACCAAGGCTTAATTCTTGCAAAAAGAGCATATCTTGGTATTCACCTTCTTCTTCTCTTTGCTGTCACTTTATTTTGAGTATTTGAAACTGTTGTCGTTTGCAGTTGTTCTTACATCCTTCCACTTGAGCAAGCCAATGATATTGTGCGTACCGTGTATGTCAGTACTTATGTCTGCTTGTTGTCGTCTTATCGTAACGCCTGTGGTTAAAGTCTTCACCTTTGACGGGTGAAAGCCATATTCCTATTTGCGAAGGTCTTACAGGAAAATTTCCTGGACATGATTCAATTTCCTGTAAGACCTTCGCAAATAGGAATATGGCTTTGACCGATCCAAAGGTGAAAAGACTTTAACCACATGTTTTCGATAAGACGAAACAAGCAAACCTAAGTACTGACATGCACGGAACGTACAATATCATTGGCTTGCTCAAGTGGAAGGAAAGGATGTAAGAACAACTGCAAACGACAACGGCATATAAAAATAAACAATAAGAGTCTTTCAAATGCTCAAAATAAAGTGACAACAAAGAGAGGAAGGGGGTGAAAACCAAGATTTGCTCTTTTTGGGTTTTTGGGCTCCGTGAAGAGCTCGAGTACAAAATCATTAAAAGGGTTGGATGCTCTGTGAAAAGTAACTTGATCAGCTTCTTTGAGATGATGGGATTTCACAAATTCTTCTCATTCCGTGTTTATGCTTAGGACAACGTGGGGTGCTCTGGCTCTACCATGAGCCGACAAATTCATCGTGTAATACATTTTCTTGTCATCAACCATGATGAGGTCTTATGAAAAAGGCCTAAGAGGGGAAAAAAGAAAGGCTGAGGTTTGTTGGGATAGAGGCTTTTGAATCGAATGAAGAGTACATGAAAATGGATTTCCAGTCGGCTGCAAGTGCGATTGAGTCAATTATACCGAAGATTCACCGTCTGCCCCTTGTTGAAGATTTGGTTATTCGATTGGAAAGTGATAACTGGTAGTGTATTACTTCTCATTTTTTATGTTTTTTCCCTAATATTCCTCTTTTTTATGCATATTTTACTTATAATTTGTATATATGATTTGATTCAGCTTGAAGCAAACACGTCTTATTTTAAAGCACCTTGCAATCATGAGAGTAAGGAAGGGATAAGCTATGTTTCATACGTTCTTGCAAGGAGAAGAAACCAGAGAAAACTGACACCGATAGAGTTACGTATGAGGAAGCCCTTCATGACATGGGGGATAACACCGGTTGGAGTACTGAATTTAGTACCGGTACAGGACTTTGAGTTCGGTTTTTAATTTCAAAAATTCGAAGTACTTTGAGGACAAGAGTTATCAGCAGTTCGAGGTGAACGAGCCCTTGTTATTTTTTTGTAGAAATATCATCGTGCATTTGAAAGAACACGTCAGTCAAAGAACACGTCAGTCAGGTGATTTTCCTGCTAATTCAAAAGCTGTTAATATTTTCCATGTTCTGTTTAATTTGAAGTTGTTCCTAACCTGATTTACGGAGTCATGGTTACAATATACGACTAACGGACGAGATACTTGTCTTGTCCGTCATGTCACATTTTGAAAGACAGCTCCTACATTTTCAGGTGCAACTGTTTCAGTATGACCTAATGGACAAATTCTAGGTGTGCTCTTCTTCTGAACTTCTGATTCTCTATTTCTTTTCTCTTTCTTGAATGGTTTAAAAATGATGTGACAAGAGTCAATTATGTAGTTGATATGGAGGTGCCTATTCATAAAAGAATTTTTCCACATTTATCCTTTTCACTAAGTTCTTAGGATTTATTAAGGTCAATCTGACACCTAACTTGCCTGTAATGCTTTGTGTAACAGGAGAAAGACTTATCCCTTGGGTGGCTATTGGGTGTTTCGCGATGGGAGTTTCAATAATCATCTTCTGCACAGGATTACCAACAATTGTAGGTTTGTTTAGAAACTACGCACACTATCATGAAGTTTAAAGTTAAGTTGTAGATATTATATGAAATCAACAATGCCGTCAATATCATGAAATTGAAAGTTTTTTTGGTACAAAGAGGAATCATGAAGTTGAAAATTTGTAGGTATTATATGAAATCAACAGTGTTGTGTAGTATTTTTAGATGCTTGTGGATTTTGTTGCTCCGACTATATAAAGCACTCACTGGGTCACATGAATTTATCAAGATTAAGCAAAGTACTGAATAAACATGTGTTGTATTATTTCTAACTCCAAGTTTGAAGATAATAACGACAATCCAACACATTAGCATCCATATGGCTAAAGTAACCATAAAGTTAGCCCCCAAATGACTTGAGAACGTACATAGTAGCAACACACTAACAGTAAAGTAAATTGTTTGGTTGATCATATGAAAGCAACCATCGATCTCCACAACACATTCGAATTTGATAACTAAAAACTCTTACATACATCTTAAGCATGATGAAAGGAATCACACCATAGTTTATAGAAATTGGATACACACATCAAACATAAACTACTTTTAATACGACCTTAGTCCCTCATTTGTGTAGAGTTATACTTGTCGGCATCATCTAAATAAAACGCAGAAAGCAAGGATGAAGCTTTTTACTAGTTAAGAGAAGATACACAATTAACTATAGATACTAAAATGCATTGAAAAAAAGGAAAAAAAAAATTGGTGTAACAAAATCCATGTTTAAACACATGCTCCACATGATGCATTATAAAACAATCAGTACCATAACAAAAAATCTACAGGATCCCAACTCCCAAAGACCTTGCTCGAGTAGGTAAAGTTCCAATTACTATTATATAAGTCATAATCACTTTACAGTGCTTACAAATATACAACAAGATGGATACCAAATGTGTGATCTATATAGTTCTTTACAAGTTACAATACTCTATGCTTCCAAAAAAATATGCACGCCTGTAAAACCATCTTTGACGTTTTCATGTCACATTACTCGTACCCCAGTCACAACTCAAGGGTACTTCCCGTTCCTGAAAATCGAGCAAAAGAAATACTTTAGATACAAATATGGAAAACCAAGTTTATAAGTGATAAGAGTCGAGTCACACATGTTAGCATGTTCGCTCAACGCATCATTTATACACATCAATAACGAAAAAAAAAAGGAAAAAAATGTATACAAATCAATTCATCACCCGCTTCAACACCTAAACAAGTCAATTTCTCCATCACATACACTGGAAAATGACAGTCGTCTAGATATGAGTCTAATTGATTATCCAAAACGAGCACCAGTTTCACAGAAACCTGTAGGTTATGTAGCATTTGGGTTGAAGATTTACCTTATAACGGCCCCTCTAGAAGCACTAAAACGACGGGTTCTTTGATCTTGCTCTTTCCCATTGCGCGCGGCAGTAAGTTCTTTCTCCATGCTGGCTACTTCTCGCCGCATCTTCTTGGCCTCAACTTCCATTGCTTTACTCAACATATCAACCTTTTTCGACAACATCTGAGCGATTTTCATGCCAAAATGTCATAAGTGGTGAGAGAATCATAGAAGATTGGGATGATTACAGAACTACCTCTGGTTTCGCTAATTTACAAAATAATTCAGGAAAGTTATTTTAGTTTTTGTTTTTTTCTTGGGGAGGTAGGGTTGGATAATTCATAATTATAAACATCAGAGTTTATGTTTTTATCAAATTACCCCAAACCTCACATATAGCCTCCCGAATAATAATAAATAAGAACTAATCACCGAACCTCAATAGCGTCATCTTTGTCCTTCAAGCTTTGATCTTTCTCATGACATGCTTTACGCAGTAATATGACATCTTTCTGCAGCATGTCGTACAACAAGCCCGAAACACAGTCTTCATTTTCAGTTTTCAACTTATCAGTCAAAACACACCCGTTGCCGTTCTCAAATGGCTTAATTACTCCATTACCATTTTGGCTCTCCTTCCCATGAGAAGGCTCCCTATCATTGTTTTCTCTCTCTGGAACCACCTTTTCACCATTAGTCAGTGCCCTATCACCATTAAATGAGCTCGGTAAATTTTTCACGTGATTTGGACTAGTTATCCGGGGTGACCCTGAAATTATCTTTTTCGTGGACAAAAATCCATTTGAAGGTGGTGTGGAGAAATTTCCCGATCCTCCTTGTGACTGTCTACGTGATCTCCCGTTACTCATGCTTCTTCCTTGTGACGAAGCACGGTTCGTGCCATTGGGACACCCTTTGACCCTTTCCTCCAAAACTTTAAAGCGCAATTGGAATTTTTCCTAATAGTAAAATGACGAGTGTTTTAAAACATCTGCTTTTTAATAAACAACTGGCAGCAGAAACGACTACAAATCATGAGCATTGTCACCTTCATTTGTGCTTCCGCCTTGGCTGCACGCTCTGCAATTGCCAGCTTATCCTTCAGTTGTTGCATTTCTCCCTGTTACATAAATTGTGATACAAGAACATCCCATTGTGAATAAGATACTCCTCCCTCTTGCACATTACTAGATAAATTTCTCCATTTTTTATTTGTTGAACATTTGAAATATATTGTCAAATATATAGCCTTACTCCAAAATTAATTATGTGATTGTAAAAGCTAGAGGGAGAAAAAAATTATAGCTCCTTCATTATCTATTTACAAATCAGCTCCTTCGTGGCAATTTTTTTATTTATTTTTTTATTTTTTTTATTTTTTTGTGATAGCAGTAATGAGTTTTTTTACGTGTTTGACATCACCTGATAGAGATGAAAGAATGAAAGCATATCAAATTTAGAAAATGTTATGCTGATTTTTGAGATCTTAAATAGTGGTAAATTTTAGGGATTTTGATTATTTTTCTCGAATGCTATATTATTTTTTACCTCTTGAATTTAATATTACCATTATAGATTCGATATAATTTAGTATACAAGAAAGGTTGTCAATAGGATGAGTACGAAGAGATTTAGTTTGTAATAGCTATGGCTATTGGGCAAGTTATTCTTGCTGAACAGATATTTAATTCATGTTGCAGAAGTTTAATACTTCATGTTTATCCTTATTATTATTTCGTCAGTAAAACTCTTTTCGCGACTCTTTACTCCTATCATCACCACATTAGTTGACCTCATAACTTTTCTGGAAATTATACAATCAAATTCATTGCGAGAACCTGATAGAATTTCCTTTCCTCAAGCCACTGCTTTACTGGCATAACTTTGTCGCTGGCATCTTTCCAATCATTTGCCACGACGACAGCTACACGATTTGCCGATATCTTAGCACGAGCCAATTCACGGTCTAGAATTCTTTTCTCTTCCTGCTCACGCTTTGGAAATTAGCAACTTCTCGAAGAACACATGATTGTCAACTCTACAATGTGTTGTACAGAAATTCTGTTGAATTAATAAACGAAGTCTCGAATTTAAGGCGCTTACATTTATTTCTTGAACTTTTCTTTGGTATTCACGAACAGCATTTGCTGCAGCACCTCCAGACAAAACAGCCTCCTCGAGCTCCCTAACTGTTTGAGTTAGCTTCTCAACTTCCGAAACCTTTTGTCTATGCATTTTGTCCAATATTTTATTCTCCTCCTGAAATGATACCAAAGATATATCAGAAATCTCCATCTGAACCTGATTCACATTATAAGATAGGCACAAACTTTTTCAAAAGGCCAAACCTGGCATATCTCGATCTGTTTCCCCAGCTCTTGGTTTTTGTTCTGCAAATCATCAACTAATGATGCTTTTGCTAGAGCCATCTGAACCGTGCGTTCGGCTTCCAAGAGTGCGGCCTCTTTCGATTTAGTGAGCCGGTCGAGTGCTTTATTATCCTCCTGTAGCTTTGTCACCTAATGAAGAACAATATCCATGTCCAATCAGATAACATCTATATCAATTCAAAATAATAAGTGACGAAAAATTTTAAGTAATCAAATTGATTCTATACCTCCGTCCGTGTTAGTTTCAGCTCGGCCTCCAGAGGCGCGATGATTGCCTCGATTGGCGGCATCTCGTCATCTTTCTGGGCACTATGCACCCTTCTAAGTGTGGCCTCAGCAGCAAATTGTGCAGCCAAGGCTGCCTTTTTCTCCTCATTTATTTTCTTAATTTCAAGATTCTGAGATTCACATGTGAGGATGGAGTATTAAAATATTATAGAATTCATAATCTATGTAACCCTTCAAGTTCAAGAATGCAGATAATGCAGGAGAAAAACTGAAAGAGGGCAGGGTGCGCATGTCACACACACACACACACACACACACAGAGAGAGAGAGAGAGAGAGGGAGGGAGGGAGAGTACAAAGAATTGAGATAAACCGAAACATACCTTGCTTTCAAGTTGAGATTCTGTCGCTTTCAACTTCTCGTCTACTTTCTTCAACTCATCAGTAAGCTAGCAGAATCAAAATGATGTAAGAGGAATATACTCTCTTTTACAAGGAGTTAATTTTTAAGTGCTTATAAACAAGCATCTCCATAACAACATAGATAATGTAATAAATAGAAAAATATAAGTCAGAAAGAAGAAGTGACGTTTTGACTTTTGAATGAGTTGAGCAACATAATCATTTATTAGCAAATGAATTTCAGTAGATAGCTGGCTGTGCTCAATGGTTTTCATAAGTATTTCCCCAAATTTTGTTGGCACACCCAACAAGGTGATGAAAATTCTAATTCTCCAAGCATAATAAGTTTGAAAATTATTTTACAGCACCCCCACTGTAACTTATAGTCTTAATACAGAATTCGTCAGTATGAGGACGAGAAAACAACGGAGTTGTTAGCATACCTCTTCAGCGGCCTTCTGTTTCAGGCGTTCTGAGTACTTCAATGCTTTTATTTCTGCATGTGCCTCTCCCAGTTCTCTATCCTTCTCTGCGCATTGGAAATATTGTTTAGTAAGAACAACAAAACATGCTTGCACTTGTTTATTTTACCTTACATCAAGTATATTCAAGATAAAATCAGGTTCTTCTAACTTTGATAAAAAGAAAAGGGCAACTTGGCCTAATGTGCTTCAAGACATAACCATTGGATAAATAAGACAAATGTAGAACCCAAATGAATTCACTTTAATTGTTCATACATCAATTGACTGTAGGATTGTAAATTGCTTTTGGGCAACTGCCAGATACAGTTGGCAAGCTTTAGCTGATCTAATGACCCCCACCAACCATGAACGGCATAGATTTTCACGAAAAAAGACTGCACTCTAAGGTAGCAAGCCCCTGGGCTTATTTTCTTGAATCATATTATTCGAGCATCCAGTGACATTCAGTAAAATTTACAACTTCCATTTCAAATACTTACTATTTTATTAACTGTTACGCACATTCAAAAGGTGTCACAGTAGTTTAAAGGCATGTGGCATTTGAGAAACGACAGCCTCAGAGCACGGTATCAATTTCATGAATGTGTTACGTCATATTATCAGTTCAATAGTTTTCCATTTATCCCTGATTAAATCCACGACTCGTTAATGACTCGTCATGTTTTCGTTTAAAAAAACTGCAACTAAGTGTAGAGGAAACAATCTATCTTGATGAACTAAAAAGGTTAAACCATGCATTTGGATATATGTGAAATTAATACAAGGACACATTCAAAAATGTGGTGAGCAGCATCCTTAAAATGGGAAATTATGTCTTTTAAGATAGACCATAAAGCAAAACTGAGTGGGGCCTCCATAATTGGCTTTAACTCTCACACATCCATAGCCCACAGACCACACCACATGCTGCCCAATATTTATTCTACTTCCTTTTCCCTGTCTTTAGGAATAAGTAACAACATTTACAATCTTTCCAAAACAATAAAATCTTGCTTCTAAGGCCAACAATCTGCATATTATCGGTATGAATATTCCCCATTCTACATCTCCAAATCTCCATTTTCCTGGAACTAAAATTGCTCAATTCATGGTACCATGGGACATCTTAATTTTAGAAGTTGAAAACAAAACAAAACAAACACACGAAAAGTGATCGTTATAATAAGAACTCAACACATTAATCCCCTGCAAACAAAATCTTCTTATTTTTCTGCATAAATAGAGACAAAAACAAACAGAATCGCAAAATTCCAGAGCTAACAGAACACCTTCAACTGAAATCAAATAAAAATAATCTGCACGAAACAATCACAATTCAACACACACCCACACACATATACACCCACACACACACACCCACACACACACACACACACACACACACACACACACAGAGACCCATACCTCGAACCTCGTTCTCGAGTCGAGTCAGCTCGACGCGTACGGGATCGGACCCATGCATCAGCGCAATAATGTCATCCATCTCCGAGCCGGTACGGGACATGGCCGCCGCGGAAGGCCGCCTCTTGGCCTTGTACGAAACGGGTGACGTCAGCTTCTGCGGCTCCAAATCACCATTACCGTAACTACCCATAAAAATCTCAGCAAGCCACCCACAGACACAGACACCAAAGGTTCAAGCCGTTAAATTAATCGGAACCCTCCAAACTCCGGGCTGCGGTGGACGAATAATTGCTTCCGATTTGCGCTTGTGCCGGCGAAGACGTACAAGGAATAGTTTGACAAATGGTGTGCGCGTGACAAATGGTGTGTGTATAGGTAGAGAGAGAAAGCGAGTGGTACAGGGCACTGTCAGTATGTGTTGTGTGATCTGCTGTAGAGAGAATAAAATGGCTTTAATTGCAGGTCTTATATAGAACCGTGTAAAAAGAAAAAATGTAATGAAAAACTTTATAATTATGTTGTTCGGTGATTTTTTTCCCTTATATAAATAAATAAAATTCTCTCACAGAAAAACTTTATTATTATTATTATTATTATTATTATTATTATTATTATTATTATTATTATTATTATTATTATGTTGTTGTTGTTGTTGTTGGGTATTTTTTATTTTTTTTTTGCTTTTAGATAAATATAATTCACTGTGAGAGTCTAATTGACTAGTATTTGACCATGTGCATTTGCACATATGTAAATAAAATATTGTGAGTTATTTCTATGCATATAATGATTAATTAATAATTATTTTTCTTTCACCTTTTTGCTGGTCAAATTTACAATTAAAGGAGTTCGAATATATTTTTTTTTTAAAATTGCGTTTATCGAATTGAATGCAATGTATATTTTGGTACTTTTTTTTTTGTGGATTATTTATTATTTACTTAAGAATTTCAAATACGTTTTATATTTAAAAATAATAATAATTTGAATGTAACCACAATAATAACATTTAATCACATTATACGGTCAATACATTATATAGTCGACTGTCAGTAATCAAAAGTTTAAAATGAATTTTGCAATTTTGAAGTGATTAGTGTGTTGATTATTTAATAATTAAATGAAAGATTAAATACATCAAAAGTAACAGTTTTTAGAGGGAATATGATTAAATTGCCACGTAGGTAAATTAAATAAATTTTATTAAATGCTATTAGCTAGGAAATATATATATATATATATATATATATATATATATATACATGTATATTATTAGGAGTGTCTACCCATCATTGCCCTATGAGTTATAAAATGTTATACTTTCTTATGTTTTGTGACAGCATAACTGTTACGCGGGTCATACCATTATATATTTATAATAAAAATGTATACTTATTTTTATCAAATATCATATTTTTTTTTTCTTTTCAAGCGGGATCAATACTGGTTTCCCAATTCTTCTCGGGTGACTCGAACTCGGGACATGGTACACGCCGAGCGAAGGTACGCGCCACTGCCCTAACCCCTCTTCGTCATCAAATATCATACTTTAGCTTATGATGTTTTCTAGAATATGACCGCTCAATTTTATATACATTTATTGAAAGAGTATTAAGTTCTAACTGCATAAATTTTATGGAGTCATCGGATGACTACCTTATGGATTCATTCATAACTCTATATATTGTCACGTTCTCAATGTGTATTTATTGCAGGACAAGTGTCAATACTCATTTGTGAATTACTATCAACTAAGTATTTGAAGGTTCATTATTTGAATCGGATGGCTCCATAACAAAGCCGATCCAAATCAAAAATTCTAAGGAGCCATCGGATGGCTCCCTTATAGAGTCATCCAGATTTTATGTACTGACACATATCCAATGTATATTTATTGCATGACACGTGTCAATACATCATTTGTGAATAACTATAGATGACTCATAAGTCGAGTCATCCTCCAAATATACTAAAGCGATAAAGTAGTTGGACCAATCAGAACGGCCTATTAACCGGTTCAATTGGTTGGCCTGACTTTAACAAGTGTGCTTTTTTTTAAGTGTTCCATAGCTATTAACCATAGTTTTCAAACCCGGCCCGAAAATCAACCCGGACAGGTCTCTGGGTCACCGGTTCAATCGTCAGATCATCGGGTCAATTGTTGAACCAGATAATTAGTTTTAAAATTTTTTAAAATTATATATATTATTTTTGACATATAAATATACATAAAAGTAACAAAAATAATTGTTTTGTATATAAAATTTATACATCAAAGTGTTAAAAGAAGTGTATCTCACAATAAATATTGTCTATATCAATATATTTACATAGTTTTTTTTATATATAAAAATTAAAAAATAAATAAATAAAATACATATGGACCGGGTCAATCGGGTTGACCCGACCGAGTCAATGCGGGTCGACCGGGTCAAAGCCGGGTTGGCCGTGTTTTGATCGAGTCCATTGTTACCCGGTCCAAATAGTCCACTCGGGCCGGTTTCGGCTCCGGGTCGACCCACCGGGCCGGTTTCGGCTCCGGGTCGACCCGCCGAGCCGGTCCGTGTTGAAAAACAGTGCTATTAACACTTGAATTCTAACATTTAAGAATTATACACCAAAGTTAAAAGTCATAAATCAATAGTAGTTTAATATAGTAAAAATAGAACAAACCCAAGAGTAGAGATGTTAAACGGGCTAGCCCTAGCGGTTACGGGCTAGCTCTAGCGGGCTTCGGGCTAAACGGTCCGGGCCTAAAAAGCCCGAATTTAAACGGGCTACCAATAAAAGGACCTAACCCTAACCCTAGCGGGCTTCGGACTAAACGGGCTAAACGAGCTATAATAATAATAATAATAATAATAATAATAATAATAATAATAATAATAATAATAATAATAATAATAATGTATCAAAAATATCAAAAATAAAAAGAAAAAAAATTATAAAAAATTACAACGACTAATTAATGATTGTTTTCAACGATATTTATTATTTGTTGCTCTATATATACAACTACACATCATATATGAACACATACTACAAACTCTTAAATAACATTTTTTTCCATAAAAAAAAAAAAATATTCGAATTATTACTTACAATTACTATTTCGCTACTTATATTTTGTACGCTGTGGAAATTTTACGATATTATATCACTATAAATTCTATCACTATGTTTCATGTGTTAGGTCTTTCTCTCATTTGTTTCCTATTAGTCGCTCTGATTGAGTTAAATACTTTGGTGTGGAGTACAATAAGAATAGTGTTAATAATTATCTTTCAAAATCAATATAATCCATTACAGCTCATACTTATATGTGAAGTGGAATAGCAAAATTTTAATATACAATGAATCTAAGAGTATATTACTTACTTGCTGCAAATATTTACAACGCCCAACTCAAGTTAAATGGGTCAGCCCTAGCGAGTTTCGGGCTAACCCTAACGGGCTTCGGTTTAAACGGTCCGGGCCTAGAAAGCCCTGATTTAAACGGGCTACTAATAAAAAACCCAAACCCTGTTTTTTTTTCGGGCTAAACGGGCCGGCCCGTCGGGCCAAGGACCGTTTAACATCTCTACCCAAGAGCGCTTGGATGAGATGACTTGGGTCTCTTCCAGCTTAACCAGTGGTCTCGTGTTCGAGCCCTGGGAATGCAGCAGTGTTAAAACTCTTGAGGGAGAGCTTTGCCGCCCTTGTGGTCCTACCCGACTCGATTCCGAATTAGTCGGTCCCTGTGAATC